ACAAAACATTAATCAAACTATAAACTATTTTTCGACAGCTTCCAGTCATTGTAAAGACGAGCCATTTCCATACAAGGAACATTTAGTATTCATCGACCGAAGAGTTATCGCTGCTATGGTTTAAAAATTCTGAAATCTTTCTTTTAAAACAGGTTTTCAAGGAAATGCGTTTCTCAAGTTCACTGCTATCGCTATTTTTATAATTGATGGGTGGAAATTCAGCATCTTGATTGCATCATTATTTTCCCTTCCAGTTACAGTGGCTATCCATTTTAACTACTACTGCTGCTGAAAGTCTTCAAGTCAGGAGGTTTCTGTCATTTGGCAAATTTCTTTATCGACGATTCTGTAGCACCAGTTTATAAAATCTGATGAAGTATTATCTTCTTTAAAACCTAGAGGTTTTAACCGCTAAGACACAAGAGGTTATAGGATGTAGAAAAATTAGGAACAAAAACATTGATCGAGAGTCGGTTTCACAAATCAGCGGTTTATGTGAAGAAGCCTCTCGAGTGGAAGTTACCGATGGAATACGAGTGGTTTTCCGATACAATATACATTGCATAAACTGTTCAAATTACACTGTAACCCACTACCTCGAGTGGCTCTTTGACCTTGTACAGGATAAACATCACTACAAAAATGTTCAATTCTCAGTTTTCTTAAATATAATATTTTCGTTCTTTTGTCTTCATCTTTAAGGAAACTGTCCAGTGTTTACGGCCATATGGGAGTGAATATAATATTCTGATAAAAAAATATTTCTTTCATTTTATCATTCGGTATTACCCCATGTAAGGCAGTAAAGCTACTAAGATACAAGGGATTACTTGGTGTGGAAGGATTAGGTAGAGAAACATTAATAAGGAGTGGGAAGAAAAAGATTAATCAAACGGACAATAGATAGCGAATGATAATAAATTTAAATTTTTGCAGATTAAAGTTGGTTGGAAAACATGGATGGCATGGATGATAAGAACCGGAAGTCTTGTATAAATTCGAGATTATAAGATTCATCCTTTGGTATCTATCATTGCTTTCTGTCATTTATTTTTATTACATCACATGGCTTTATGTTAGATTTGTGTCTTTATTAAACAGCTGAATTAAATAATGAATCAAACTCATATGATTCATAAAAAAATTTCCAAATAAATATTCACGATTGACTGTAATATTTTCTTTTCTTGTGGCAAAATCATGGCGTCATTGTGGGAAGAAACGTAGGATAAAAACAATAGCTGACAACATTAACTCCTAAGAGAAAATATTATGAAAGAATTAATGATTCCTGTCAATTTTAACGTGGGTTTATATCGGTTGTCGTGGGTTGGAAACTGGTTCGTTTTATTTTTTATTCCTGCCTTGAAAAAGAAATGGCTTGATTTCTCGAAACTATTTCCTTGCAATATTTAAGAAAGCTTATGTCTTTGATGTGGGAATCTCATTATAGGCGCATCTGGATATCACCAAGACAAAGTACAAACGACACATCCGCCCACGCCAGAAATACAGCTCATCAAAATCTAATGACGTATCGGGGAATTTTGAATGATTTTATTTATCACCAAGAAGCTGCAAAAATGGAAATTCCACCGGTAAACTATTGAAAAAAGTTTGTAATATAGAATATTTTTTAAAAATTTACCAGTAAAAATCTTCTTTTTTTTTAAATATAATGGTAATTTTATAGAATGTTTCTTTCGACGAATTTCATCAAATTTCAAGTGTTGTAGACTAATGATACTTTAATTTTCAAAAACTATAACATGTTATATGCTTGATGTTTGCGAGAATGGTTGTCTTTTTACCGATTTTGGAAAAGGACACTTTATTCTTAATTATAGGCATTTAATTTGACATTGACTTGACAAATACTACAGTTCTTTTTATTTATTTACCGTGTCACTTCATGTTCGTTCGAGAGTTGAGATTAAACATTTCAAATCTCGAACGAACGTTAATTGGCAAAGCAAAAAAAAATGGATTACGCTTTATGTCATCTGGGTACTTCAACGTGGTGTAATGGTTATCAAGATTGTCTCGCTAGGTCAGTTAAGACTGAAAAGTGAGTTCGATCCTCACTAGGTGCCCCATAATTTCCGCCTTAGAAAAATATTAGTGTGTAAATTGCTTTCTCAAGTAGTTTGCAACACCCTATTTATCATCTCTCAGTTGCATCTCTGTCTCTGGGCAGAGAGCGGTCAGAGGCTGCTCCGTCAGAGTCGCAACTGAGGAATATTATCCTGGGAGGTGCACAGCCCTGGGGAAGAGCTGCCCAATGTCGCACCCTCTCATTATACCAGAGACAGGGATCGGTGCTCGCACCGAGGCCAGCGCAACCGATGGTTGCTAGGGCTGCGGCAATTTTTGTTCCTAGCTCGGGTGTACGCGCTCGGGCTCGCCACATTAAACCGACTTTGTGTCACAACCTGACTTCGTCGGGTGTTGAGTAAATGTAAGTGGTTAACAAGCTTGTCTCGTTGGATCAATTACGACTGAGTAGTGAGTCCAATCTTCGCTTCTCACGTTCGGTCTTGTACCACATGAAAGCTACGCTTAGAAAATCACTGGGCACTTTAACGTGATTTAATAGGTAGCAAGCATGTCTCTCTGAATCGATTATGACTTAATAGTGATTTCTGTCTACATTCACTGCCTCACACTTTCGCCTTTGTACCACATCTAAGTTACGCTTAGAAAATAGACATTAATATCAAACTGTGCAGATAACGAGGCGTTAATTTTTAAATCTATAACACGTTATATGGTTGATGTTTTTTTGTACGGGGAAGACTTGTTGTCTTTAAGCTTTTGGGGGGAGAGGTATTTTTTTTAATTTTTTATTAAGTATAAGCATTTGATGAAAATTCTACGGTTCTTTGCTGTGTCAGTTCACGTTCATTGGAGATTTGTGACGCGTAATCTCAAATCTTGAACAAACGTGAACTAACGTTGCAAAGAAATAAATTACGCTAGATTACTATCAAAGTGATCAAATCTGAATCAGCTCCAATTAACTCATTCATGTACTTGTAAAATATTTCGTATGTTTTGTTATCCGTCTGTACGCGTATTTCTCTTTCTTTCTCAGGCTACAATATCTTTCTTCTTCTTCTTCTTCTTCTTCTTCTTCTTCTTCTTCTACTTCTTATTCTTCTTCTTCTTTATGTGCCGTGTCCATTCAGGACGTTGGTAATCATGTTTCTCTAGAATTTTATGTCTCTTATAGCTCTTAATAATTTTTTCAGTGTTCTGTTATATTTGAAAGAGCATTAATCACATTCGAATAAATATCAATAAAAGGAACAGTCGGCGTTTTCTAGCTAAGATTATGGTAATGTTAATGATTAAATTACCCGTTTCCATGCAGGAAACATCTGAAATTCATTGACTGGGCAGTTGGCATTATTGTCAGTTGAAATAAATTTGTTTTAGAATATTTTTGTCAAGAAATTAGACTTCTCAAGTAGATTAGCTATTTTAGCATTTTCCCGTATTGATGGCAGTTTTCTTTCAAATCTTTTGTTTTCGGTAGGGTGGAAAGTTAACAGTTTCATTATATCAATATTTTCTTTTCTCGTTACATGCGCAACCCATTTTTCTTGCGGTGCTGTTCGAAGTCTTTTTATTATTTGGAAAAATCTTTTGGTAAAGATTTGGGGATTTCGGTAAAGATCTTTAGGATTTCGATAACGATTTGGTGGATTTTGGCAAATATCTTTGGGATTTTAGTAAAGATTTGGGGGATTTCGGTAAAGATCTTTGGGGTTTTGGTAAAGATTTGGGGGATTTTGGTAAAGATCTTTGAGATTTTAGTAAAGATTTGGAGGATTTTGGCAAAGATCTTTGGGATTTTACTAAAGATTTGGGGGATTTCGGTAAAGATCTTTGGGGTTTTGGTAAAGATTTGGGGGATTTTGGTAAAGATCTTTGGGATTTTAGTAAAGATTTTGGGGATTTTGGTAAAGATTTGGGGGATTTCGGTAAAGATCATTGGGATTTTAGTAAAGATTTGGAGGATTTTGGTAAAGATTTGGGGGATTTTGGTAAAGATTCTTAGGATTTTAGTAAAGATTTGGGGGATTTTGGTAAAGATCTTTGGGATTTTGTTAAAGATTTGGTGGATTTCTGTAAAGATCTTTGGGGTTTTGGTAAAGATCTTTGGGATTTGGGCGAAGATTTGGGGGATCTTCTATCGCAAGGGTTCTTATGAATGATAATTTTATTCAAAATTTAACGGTTATGTTCGTCCGAAGCAATTTTAAATCCTTGATCTGAGAAAAATTCGCCTATGGATGATAGTTTAGACAATTATGTTCCAGCTAAACGCCATACATGACATTCATATGAGAGTGTATAACTGTCGAGGCTATTTAAGAAAATCTGGAGAAACCAAAATCAAACAAGTGAAACGTTTAAATATCTGGGAAGTGTTTTAATAGAGGTCGGAAAATGCGACAATGAAATCTTAAGGCACATTAGGATAGCGAAAAATGTCTTACAAAAGCTAATCAAAGTATTAAGAAACAAGAAAATTAGATTAAAAAAAGAAAAGAGTACCGAACTGTTATGTAATATTGGGCTTCCTATATGTCAGTGAATGCAGGACAATCTCAAAACAGATAAAGAAGAGACTTGATGCAAAAGAAATGTTGTTCTACAGAAGGATACTGAGGGTACAATGTACTGAACAGGTGAACAACGACGAAGTTTTAGAGAAAATAGAAATAAAAATGACACTTATATTTAACATCTGGAAGAGATAGATGAAATTTCTCAGGCATATAATGAGGAAAGAGGGCTTTGAAAATTTGACGTTCACAGGAAATATTGAAGGCAGGACAGACATCAGAAGACATTACATAACCTACCTAGCAGGCTTGTGTGAATGTATAGCAGAACAGGGAATATAAGAGATAGCAACAAGACTATATTAAAAGATATAAAAGGACAATAAATTTTGGAGAACCATAATCGCCCACGTTCTGAAGGGTTACTCTACATAGAAGAAGAAGAAGAAGAAGAAGAAGAAGAAGAAGAAGAAGAAGAAAAAGCATCTTCGAAGCTAGTAATTATAGACAGTAGGAAAAGTTCACTGAACTGTTACCTAATATGAATCCTCCTATGAGGCGTTGAATCCTGGACAATCTCCTCAAAGATGAAAAAATTTGAGGCAACAGAAATGTGGTTCTCGGAAAGAATGCTAAGGATACCATGGACCGATTATGTCGGCAATGCCGATTTTTTTTTCAAAAAGAGAACAAAAACAACACTTATTTCTAACATCAGAAAGAAAAACTTGAAATTTCTAGGGCGCATAATGAGGAAAGAGCACTTGGGAAATATGATACTCATGGGACAGAATGAAGGCAAGAGAAACAAAGCATAACCTAATGGACACGGTGCATAGAAGAAGAAGAAGAAGAAGAAGAAGAAGAAGAAGAAGAAAAAGAAAGAAAGAAAGAAAGAAAGAAAGAAAGAAAGAAAGAAAGAAAGAAAAGATACAAAAATAGTACTCACAAGTACAGCCCACACTTTAGGTAGAGCTTTAATTATGTAAAATATGTGCGATTTATTTTTTCAAAGCTGCTCAGTGGGAAACGTTATGATACCATTTCTAACTTTAGATCTCTGGTTGGAACCTGGAAGTGAATGAGTATATACCAGAAACAGCAACAACAACAACAATGACGACGATAATAATAATAATGGCAAGAGAAACCGCTTCATGGCCAATACTCTGCCCGTCCCAAACAAGCTGACGTAGACAAAACCCGTACCCATCAGTGGCTACGTAGTGCAGGGTTGAAAGCGAAAACTGAAGGTTTCAACCTTACTGCACAGGACCAAAGCTTGTTAACTAGGAATTATCAAGCACATATACCAAAATATTGTGTTAGTCCAAAATGCAGATTCTGTGATAAATATCCAGAAGCGATTGATCATCTTGTATCAGGTTGCACGATATTGGCACCCACTTAATATAAAACCCGGCATGACAGTTTTGGGCCAATATCTGCTCTTCTACGGGAAGGAAACTGAAAGAAACTGGTATGAACACCACCCAGACCCGGTTACGGAGATAGGACCTGTTACAATTCTATGGGACTACACAATACACACTGACAGAACAATCAAAGCCAAACGCCCAGACATTGTTATTAAAGACCACAAACAAAAAACGTGCCTCCTTATTGATATGGCAGTCCCTGCAGACTGCAATGTATCTTTGAAAATATTCAAAAAACTGTCAAAATACAAGGACCTTGAAATCGAAATCTCAAAAATGTGGCACATGGGAATATCAACAATCCCTGTTGTAGTTGGAGTCCTAGGATTGGTTGGAAAAGATTCCAGTAGACTAATTGAAGGGATTCCTGAAAGTCCATGCCTCAAAGAGATACAAAAAATTGTTCTGACAAGTACAGCCCACTCTTTACGAAGAGCTTCGTAAAGAATGGGCTGTACTTGTCAGAAGAATTGTTGGGATTGTTGATGTTCCCATGTGTCACATTTTTGAGATTTCGATTTCAAGGTCCTTGTATTTTGTCAGTAGAAAGTGTCACGATGCCATTTCTAAACTTAGGTCCCTGGGCGGGACCCGGAAAGAAATGTGCAAACGCCAGAAATCAAAGGAAATAAAATAATAATAATAATAACAACAACAACAATAATCCATTAAAGAATTATGAGTTTCTTATTCAGGAAATATTATCAGGAAACAATTAACTTAAAGAGGACATTGACTCGACGCCATCGCTTTGAAAATGAATTGTCAACAGTATAAAATAGATTTAATTTCTTACTAATGAAAATAATATTTCTTTTCTTCAAAAGCTGCAACGATTTGCAATTGTTGGAAAGCATTTAATGTAGCATACAAATCTCAGATTGCACATATGCAAATGTGACGGGACCCAGAAATCAAGTCTTGAACTGAAGTAAATCTATTTTTGCAGGAGAAATTTATAGAAATATCTTATATACACGTATACAAGTAGGGGCAGTACAATGATCTCGTGCCCCGACCCAGAATCTATGATACGCCCCTCTCTACTACATCTCAATTTTCATAAGGTAGTATTTATATAAAATACAAATTTTATTGTAACCTAATTATGTACAATGATAGATCATATGCAATATAGGTGAACAATTCAACCAGACAATTTGGAAATAAATTCAATGTATCCAAATACAAATCCGAGACATGTCATAATAGATGGTTCCATCTTAAATGTAAATCAACTTTTTGGGACACTTTTTGACATGAACTTGAGATTTTCTCTTGTTAAAAAAAAAAAGAAGAATTCTACAATATGGATTTAAAAAACAGTGAATTTTATACTGTTTTTTTTTTTAGACTTAGCATAAGCAAAACAAATTCACGGATATGGACGAAAAAAAGAAAGATCTCAGAATGACGTCAAAATCCGAGAAAATTATTCCTCCTTTAATCGTCAGTTGTACTTAGATTAATTTTAAAAACGTATTTAAATGCATGTAGAAAAAAGTAAATGTTAATAAGATAGTGAGGGTAACAAAGCACCACTTGTCTGCGAGGTCGGAAGTACTACGGTCCATTGTACAAATCTATATCGTATATAAGATCAGTCAGTCAGTTATGTGCCGTGCGTGATACACGCTTAGGCGATCATGTATCTTTCGATGTATGGCTGACGAGGCAGAAATTTCCCCGCAGTAGGTTGCCATTTCTTTCTGCGGTAGACCAGTTGCCAACCAAGGCTATAGAAAACGGTCTGTCCTGCTATTTACCCATAGCTGGGAGGAGAAGAAGAGAATTCATACCTTTCCCAAGGTAAGTGAATGTAATGGATTCGACTGGAATTCGAACTTGGCTCTCCGATTCCCCAATCCGAGCTGCTATCCATTACTCCACCGTGCCTACAAGGTCCGGCACAAATTAAGGTGACATCTGTTTGGATGGCGCGAGAGAGACCTCACTGTAATCAAAACTTGTGTCTGGAATTATGGAAAAGATAACTAAGATCACCGTGCGCATGACTAAAGAGGCTACTAACAAAAAGAGGCTACTAACAAAAAGAGGCTACTAACAAGAAGAGGCTACTAAAAAAAGTAAATACACAAGTGGTTTCAGGCTGAATGTTAAAATAATTCTTAAAATTCCTGTTTAGATTACTAAAACTGTTATATATCTTGCCTTATAGGTCGATTTTACGTGTAAATTAATGCTTTCCATTTCATAACATAAAAGCATTTGTTTATGAAATGTTTCAATTTATGAAATGATCCCTACATCAACTATTCAGACTAAAGCAGTAACAACTGAAATTACGTTTAAAAAATAATTTAAAACTAGTAATTCATTGTTGGCGACCACAATCTAAACAGCATAAGATATGCAAATGACACAGTGTTCATAGTAAGCACGGAAAAGAGACTACAAAAACCCTACAAAAGGTAGTGAAAGTATGCGAAAAGAAAGGATTAAACATCAACTGCAAGATGACAGAATGCATGGCGGTTGGCAAATGGAACAGCCCAAAATGCGAAGTGCAAATGAACGGAAATACGCAATAAATATTTTACGCAATTCTCAAATAAGGTTAAGTTTTTTTTTTTTTTTTTTTAGGCAAACTTAGGTGTTCTATAAAGTAGCCACAAAGATGTATTGGAATTGCTCAGCAACCTGGACATATTTGAGATGAATATTAGAATAGTCAAGAACCAGTATATACGGATAGAAAATTAACTCAGCAGATATACAAAAACAGAAATGGGTATAAGACAAGGATGTGTCTTCTCACCAGACTTATTCAGCCTATACAGTGAGGTGATTCTGAGAGAACAATTCCCACGTGGGATCATTATTGGCGGCCAAAATCTTTAAAAAAATATAAAGTATGCAGATAACACAGTGTTGATAGCAGATACAAAAAGAAAGCTACAAAAAATCCTACAGAATATAGTGAAGGAAAGCGAGAAGAAAGGATTAAACATCAAATGCAAGAAGACAGAATGCATGGTGGTTAGCAAAAGGATGAGCCAACGTGCGAAATGCAAATTGGAGGTACTGAAATCTGATGGTGCATTAGAATAAGCAAAGATGTATTCCAAAATCTAAGAAGACTATTAAGAAATAGAAAACTTTACTAAAAAAAGCAAAAGAGTACTAAACTGTTACGTGATATCTGTCCTCCTAGATGGCAGTGAGTACTGGACAATGTCCTCAAAATGAAGAAGAGACTTGAAGCAACAGAAATGTCGTTCTACAATGGGATGATGAGGATATTGTGGTCCGAACATATGAGCAACGGCGAAGTTTTAAAGAAAATAAAAACAAAAAGGAAACTTATACTTAAAATTATGAAGAGAAAGTTGAAATTCTTAGAGCACATATTGAGGAAGGAGGGCTTGGAAAATCTGATACTCACAGGACAGTTTGAATGTAAGAGAGACAGAGAAAAACAACTCATAAAATATCTGGCAAGCAGGAGTGAACGTATAACATACTTAGTGAGTATTTACATTATTTACATCGTTCGGACTGTTGTCCTCTTCTTTATTGCCATATTCGCGACGTTTCGACCGTTGTACGTTCTGTCTTTCTTCAGGTGATATACGTTGGAATTTCGAAAAGAACCCTTTATTTAGTGAACTGAAACTGAGATATCCAAATAAGACATGGCACGTGGAATTAGAACAATCTATCCTAGTGGATTAAATCAAGGGTTCGGTACGAAATTCCCAAGTATATCACCTGAAGAAGGTGTATTATGGCCGAAACTTCGAGGCAATAAAGATGGGTACAACAGCCCAAACGATATAAATAGTGTAAATAGTTTCAATACCTCCTCACAGAAATATAGACAGATACTTAGTAAGCTTGAGTAAATGGATGACTGAAAAAGTTTTATGAGTAGTAAGATAAAACCACACTTATTAAGAGCTGCAAGAGACAGGAAGTTCTGGAGAGCCATGATCGTCTACGTTCTAAGTGGATACAGCAAATAAAGACGAGGAAGAAATATATTTAGTTTTTATAATTTTCTATTGAATTTTTCATTTTTCAGGTATTACGGTTTTCGAAATTTAGCATTCCAAATTAGTATGTTTGTTGAGAGGACTGATCTGTCAATTCCGTTGCAGTACGAATGGGAATGGGAATTATGATATTAACCGTTTCCCTACAGGAAATATTTGGAATTCCTTGGCCGAAGAGTTAGTGAAATTGATAAAATATTTCTGTTTTAATAGATTTTTAGGAAAACAGGCTTCTCAAGTCCACTTTTTTTTGCTCTTTGTAATAGTGATGGGCGTTTCCTTTCGTAAGGTAATTTGAAATGTCAACATCTTGATTATATAATTTTCGCTCTTCTAGTTACATGCGCTACCAGTTTTGTTGCTGTTACTGTTGGAAGTCTTCATGTGATGTTTCGTTGTTTTTTGTTTGTGATTCTGTAGCGTCATTCTAGGAAGCAGCGGTGGAGTCTACACAAAACAAAATTCCAAAAATAAAGTAAAAATTAAATACATCATCAGTCATCATGACCCTCCACAGCTTCCTTATCTTTAATATCTCTGAAGCGCCTTAACTTCTTGGGAAAAATATTCTTGTCGCCTTCTTCATTGTTATGAATTTAGAGTGGGTTTTTTTTAAATTGGTTTAGATAGCACAGTTTACCCTGCTATTTAACCTTTAGTTGGGGCACAACTTGCATACAGCTTTTTTGTTATATTTTTATATTGGAAGATTTGTTTGTTTGTTAGTTTTGTTTTTTGTTTTGTTTTGTTTTTTAATTTGGAGTGTTGGCGTTTTTTTATATACATAAAATTGATTTTGTCGGAAAAAAAACTCAATGTTCTCTATTATTTTTAAAGGAAAGTATTTCTTTTCATTTTTTTTTTTTTGTCACTAACCGAATGGCCTAAAAGCAAGGTTATATGTCACGCGAATCTACGAGATCTAGTGGGTTTCGAATGAATGAATACCTCCGCACGAATGGAATGTCTCCATACAACTCTTTTTTTTGTGGGCTCGCGTTAGATATAACACGTTTTTTATTATTATCATAAAATCTGATCGTGATATGTGTGAGCGAGGTGATTTGCGTAGGAGTGGAAATCCCATGTTAGTACGTTTACTCTTGGCTGCTTTTACTTTCATAGAAAAGTAGGTCGCATGAATTTCAGTGTTATTTATAACTTCTAGGTCAATTTATTTCTAACGGGACAATTACTTATCTTTGCAATGTTATTGTATACATAATGAAATAAGAATAAGGACGAATGGCAAACCTATCTTAGCCGACACGTTTCGTCCTCTGATGGACTCTATCAAGACGAATATAAAGGATTATTTTGCAACAAGTATGTATACACGGAAGTAAAAATGTCGTTTGTTTTCAGAATTTGTAAATTTATGAACGCTAATAAATATGCATCACACTCTGGAAGTCAAAATAAATTATATTGGATGCAAAATAATGTAATTTAATGTCTAATAAACGAAAGTGAGTAGTCCTTGTTATTGTTGATGATTTTTTATAATGTAATTATTATTTATATTATTTTAGTTTGAGATTAATTAATCACTTTTTTATATCATTTTTAACGGTTTAATAATCATTAAAATTTAAGAAAATATTCTAAACAATTTATCATTTTATTGAATTTTAGATACTTTGACTTTATAAGCTAACTTGCGAATACGCTTGTTGAGGAAATGTTAGAAAATTATCAATAAATTTTATATTTGCTACAGGTACTGCTCTTAATTTCTGATAATGATGTATATGGATGTCCATATTTGCAAAATTGAAAGTTCATGCACGCTTAGAATATATTCAAATATCTTTTTAAATGTTTGGATCCTTGAATTGTATTGTGACTTTTCATTCATGCTGAATACACTTTTAATGGACTATTGGATAGCAGCTCGGATTGAGGTAAATGAATGTGGCAGAAAATCCTGGTTAACTGGGTGAAACAGACTGATCTCGCCAGAGAACAAAAACATCTGTCACCTAATAGAGGTGGGTGGATGGGGGAGTAGAAAATAAATATGGGTCAAAAAATGGAGAGACCTATACACTTGCAGTTTTAACAACGTATTTGAAAAGACTGAAAATCAGAAAATTCTACTTTACCTTACCTTACCTTACCTTAAACAAATTGATTCTGCCCCAGGGACAAGCAGCTTAGTTTTCGTCGGAAAAAGGGGCTAACATTATGTCAGTTCCTTTGTTCAAGTACTCCCTGGCTAATAGAGTAGAAAACAGTAAATATAAAATTACTCATAATGCTGTTCCAATGTTTGGTCAACACTGCCTTATCCGATATTCTTAAGATATGGGTTAGGCTTCAAACATATTGGTTAAGTTGTTTAGTTAATCGTTTACTGCTGATTTAAAAAAAAAAGAGTTAAAATAAATTGCGAAGGTCAAGGCTGTCTTGCTTGCTAGTTTTTAAGGAGCGGCCAACGATATTAATTTGTATCGCTGAAGTAATTTTTT